TGACCTTTCATATTCAAACAAAGCAGTCCATAACATATACCCTCACCCACTTCCTTCATGTGGCTTTTATAACCTGGGACACTATCTATTTACCCCAGGATCAGGTACCAGAAAACTAGCACAGCTCAGAGCTCACTGAATTTATTCGAACTAGCCAATCTTCACCCTGTTCACTAGGCTTTGCAGAGTCCCTCTTGCAGAAACCAAATAAAGCCTCCTGCCCATAATTTCCCCCAGGGCCCACCCCCTCCTGATCAACCCTACTACTTCCCCAGGGGGTACCCGAGGTGTATTGTGCTCCCTACACTTGGGGTCTGTGAGTTTGACAATCTTTTCCATGGCATGCATCTCCTGAACTATTGGCCTTACCAAACCTAAATAATATCATTAAAACCTATCCCCTCTTATCATTATTATTACCATCATTATAATCTTTATTTTTACTATCTGTTCATTTCTGTATGAAAATACCTAATACACTGAATATAATTAGCTAATCATTTGTCTGTATCTATCTATGGTCATCGGCATTAAGACTAAAGGTGTGTCTTTAATTTTTGTATTCCTGTTCTTAACTCAAAGGCACTCACATTGTGGGCCCAGCCATGATGGCACAATGTATCACCACTCAGAAGGTTGGAAGTCTCACAGAAGGGGAAGGGTGACTTTGCTTACCGGGCCAATGTGAACTGCATGAATGACGTTATGTTCCTGTAATTCTAGCTAATAGGCAGGCAGGGACAGGAGAGCCATTATATAGCAAGACTATCAAAAATACCTACCTAATTATCTTTCATTTTCCCTCTTCATCTTTCTCTCCCTCTATTTCTCTCACAAAAGAAAAAAAATTCGTATCATTCAGTAAAACAAAGAAATGTTTTTCACCCAGGATTCTCAATAATATACCCTCATTTTGGGAAGAAATGGGGTGATCATTTGGTGATGTCTTCAAGAGATAAAAGTAATTGCAGACACAAAACCTAAAAAATGTTGAGATAAAGCTTTGCTCTGATATCTCCCCATAATGGCTTCTGTGCTCTCAGCCTCAGAAGGAGCAGATACCCCTGTGATTCCATTCTACAGTCCAATTCTTCTCACCTTAATTCCTTTGTTGGGCACTTGATTATAGTTCTCACCTTAACTCCTTTTCTGGGCACTTGATTATAGGCACATTCAACTTTTTTCTTTGCTTCTAAATAGAGATTGTACCCTCCAGGAACAGAGAAATTTCCTTCTGAAATGCTTTTCATCAAGGGTTCTGAAAAATGCTCAAGCTTAGACTTGCAATATTTGATAGATGCCTCTTCATTCTGCAGCAAGAAATCTTCCTTCATTTTCTCTATGATGATCTGCCAGGGTGATATAAAAATATAAGAGAATGAAGCTGTTTGAATGCATGGCCAACTTTGCCCCTCTTGGAAGAAGCAGTCTGACAGCCAAGTGGACTAGGAAAGGACCAAGAGCCAGGAGCATCTTATAGTCCAATTCTGATCAATTCTCTTTGTGACCTGTGGGCTGTCCCTTACCTTCCTTAGGGCCAGCCTTATCATCTGCAAAATGTTGGGGTTGGGCAACACAAAATGCATGGTTCCTTCACCCATAGTATAATTAACAGTGGTCCAGCTATCAACAAGGACTCACGGAAAATTGGAGTGTAGTGAAAGTAGTGGCCTCAGAGAATGTGGGTTGCTAACAAGTCTCATGGAAAATATGACTGTAGCAAAAGTAGTGGCCTCAAAGAACATGGGTTGCTCTGGATGAAAACATGTAAATAGAGGGAACAGGACATTAGCAAAATGGTTAACTGGAGGTATTAGATACCTTGTCCTCTCACCCCCCAAAAAAGGACCAAACTGATGAACGAATAATTGCATTTCAATCAGGATGACTAAGGGACAGTGCTAGGGTACAGTGAGGAAGTGGTGGAAACCCCGGGGAGCACAGAACAGAAAAACTGCTTAAGAGGAAGGAAGGAAACACCTCACCTCTGCCCCTCTGCTACCCAGTGGAGATTAGCACTATACTGGGGTGACTTCCCCATGCTAGGGAGAAATGAGCAAGTAGTCCCCAGCATCTTCCACTACCACCCCGGCTGGCCCCTTACAGTCTTTGCTATAGGAGAGTCTTGCAGTCCTCAAAGATCTGAGCAGAGTTTGGAGACCACAGAGGAGCCTAACCTGCTACTGTGTTGTGCTTCTTGATACTCAGGCCCCTGCCATAATGTGTCCTGCTCTGAGACCACTAGCCACTCTGCCTCTCCATCCTGAGGCTCTGCCCTCATTGCGCAATGGTTGCACACATATTAGTGCACCACGCCCTGCTAAGCTGCTGCAGTCCCTATCCCCTAGGGACAGGCCACCTTGGAGGTTCTTCATCTCCCCATCCAAGCTGCTTCTATGCACTATCTCCCAACTACTTGGAGCTGAGGGTTAGTGGAACATCTGTGACCTAGATGCCTCGAAGCCCTTATCTCTCCCTTCTCCCCACCATCCTCCAGGGACAGGCAGTCCAGCCTATCATGGCAATCTTGTTCCCCAGGTACTTAATCCCACCTGGTGCCCTGACTCTTCTTCGAAAGAGGATTTGAGGGTGTGAAAATACAAGATTGAATTTTTTGCTTGTACTCATAAATTACAGTGCAGCTAGGTTTCCTCAATATGAACTAATAGATTCTTGACAATTTGGGGCTGGTAAAATACAGACTGAAAGATGGACACATGTAGTGAATGTATCTATGGCAAGCAAAATTAAGACATTGCCCCAATTTTTCAGCCCTGATTTTCACATCCTCCATAATCCCTGGTCATGGTAATATGATGCATTATACTCAAGTTTTAGATAATGTTACAAGATAGCAGTTGGCTTTAAGAAATGGAGATTACCCAAATGGGGATTACCAAATATCCTAAACTGTTTAATACAAGAAAATGTCTCTGGAGGCAGAATAGGAAATCAGAGATCAGAAAGAAGGGAGGGGTTCGATAGCTACTGCTGGCTTGCAGATGGGGCTGATTCTACAGAGCATTCAGTTGGGAACTAAACCGTAGACACCTTTTTTTCAGATGGATCCAGCAGAGCACCCAGACCTGAAAAGGACTTCTGACCTACAGGGCTATAAGGAAGGTGCTAAATTTATTATAGTTTATTATTCAGTGGTAGAAAATACATTGACCATCTTTTTAACAAGTGAACTGTAGCCAATTAGAGCCCTTTAATAAAAAAGCAGGCTCCTTCTACCATGAGAAGAGCCAGGTGTCAAAAAGGTAGACTCTAAGCATAGTCCCAGAAGGGCAAGGTGAGTAAGGGAAAACACTAAGACACAGTACCACAAGCTCTTTCTGGAACTCCTGGTTTTCATCCTTGAAGGAGAGCTCCATGAAGACTGTAATGGCTTCCCTTTCACAGGCTGCATGCACGTCCAGCAACTCCTGGAGAGTGTCCATAGGGAGCCTCAGTCGCTGGGCCATCTGCTCACGGTAGTGGTTGGCTGCCTTCTGCACAGCTGCCGAGTTCTCGCGCTGGGCCAGGGTTGTCACGGCGTTCTCCAAACAAGGCGCAGTGCCACTGTTAATGGCATCCACATAGGTCACCACCAGAGTCGCCAGCCCTGAATGATGCATGAAATTCATGGAATCAACAGAGTTTTCACTTATTGCTTATAAATGTTATAGATCTGCATCCTATAAATCACACACACACAAACAAATCTATGTTACTTGGAATTCTTTTTCTTCCTTCTTTTGCTTCTCCCCTTGTTTTCCCTAATATTCCCCCTACTGTTTATTGTGAATGAATCTAGCTTCTTATATTACTGTGGTTCCTAGTCACTCCTTTTATGGTTCTCCAATTCATCCCATTACACAATTAAATTGCTGAATACAAGTAATGTGTCTAAGGATTTCCTATAAATAGACCTTCTCATTTAAGTAAAATAAAAAGTGTTTATTAACCAGATAAATAAATTACATAACTTGCGGGTCCTAGTTCTAAATGTAAATGCAGATATTCTTTTTAAAAAAAATTAACAAGAATCTTGACATTGTGGGGCTGGACAGTGGTACAGTGGTAAAATCCAACCTCAGCAAGGCTGACCCACACTGGGAGATTCTGGTCTGCATCCAGACCTCCCTGGTTATGCTGGGCACACACATGCTCATGATCCAGGACTCCCTGAGGTTGGGGTTGGCTTTCTACACTGTTAGGGCCCTATGGAGGGTGCTATCTCTCTCTCGTTCATGGAATAAATAAATAAAATATTTTAAAAAGGGATTTTGAGATAGTGACTGAGCTTTAATCTCAGTGAATGGCTCTTGACAATGGATACTATGCTGCTATATAGGTCACATGCTCCTGAAGCCAGCTGTACATACGAGATTATACTGAGTCTTTATTTCAAAATCCCAGTGGCTTCCAGGGACTCACGGCCTGTTATTTCTTTTTTGCAAATTCACATTATGTTTTGCATACTTTACTGAGAAACACATCCATCACTTACACCCCAGAATGTCATCTAACAACACAGATACGATCTCCTGAATTGTTGTTTGTACTCATATGGTTAGTGTGCATGTTCTGTAAGATATAGTAGGCTTCAGTAAACACCCATATAGAGAAAGGAACTCACGGTTTCCAGTGATAATAATTCCCTCTCTCAAGTTTTTTGTCTTTGCATTATTGAAAATGTATTTACAGAAATTTTCTGATTGCACCCGGAAATTAGAATCCAACTGGTCTTCTGACACTTGGTCAATATGGAGTAAGAGTTTTCTGTCATTCGTTGGCCGGTCAAAGACAAAGCATTTCCGTTTTGGAAAGAAACGCCTGATGCACTCTCTAGTCATGTTGGAGCTCTGGATGTTGGGATTCTTGCCTGAAGAATTGGAAAATGAGTGACTATTGAGAGAACAGTTTCCAGGCAAGGCAAAGAGGGTCTTCATTTCCAAGGATCCTTGTATCACTGAAGTCCCCTGCACTTATACATCTTTTATCCAATCACGTAGTCAACTGTATACTAATTTATCCATGGTATAAAAAAAAGCCACTTTTGCTGCACAGAACAGAGAGTCAAAGAAGGCTATTGGGATTAACTTTTTAGGGTTATTAATAAGTGCCTTTTAAATTAATAACTAGTTACAATATGGTCAGAAATACTTCTCTGATGTTACTCTCCCGTATCAGAAATAAAATGTGAGATCAAAAATAAATTAATCTAGGCCCAAAAGGTGTTATAGTTGTTAAGGCACTGGATTCCAGCATTGCCGACTACAGTTTGAATCCCAGACCTTACAGCTTGAAAATCATGCCAGGCACTAGTGTGTGCATGCAGGAAAAATCCCAGGAAGAGAATGGAGGAAAAGGGATTGTGGCATGGTCAGCTCTCCAGGGGGTGATATCTCACTTTCTTTCTCAATGTCTCTCTATCTCTTTCCAGCAAGTACACATGTCCTATGGCAAAAACCTAAAAATAAAATAAAATTTAAAACATATTAGAATAAAGGACAAAATGCTGCTAGAAAAAATACTGGAAAGAAAATAGATAATACCCAGGTCAGTACAGAAAAATTTTTATAAGAAGCAAACATTTACATGCTATCTGAGTTGGCCCGATAGCCTAGTAGAGACCTAGATCCCACATGCTGACTGTAGTTGAAATTCCAGCCCCAGAGATTTGAAAAGCATGCCAGATGCATATGAGCATATGTCCAAAATTCTGTCAGGATGGGAAAATGGAGGAGAATACATGCATCCTCTGGCAATGAAAAGAATATGCAAATCACCATCAACAAGCATGAATTCTTTTAGTAGAATCCTTCAAATAATCAAATTAACTTAAATACATTTTGGAGACCTTACCACTTTTCTGTATCAGTTGTGTTAGACTTGACAGAGTCTTGTTGAACGATTTCTGGTATGTATCAGTTGTGCACAAATTTTCATCAAAAATGAATAAATTATTGAACCAACAAAAATGGATATAGCTTTTAACTGTCATCAATGATCTACTTTCCTACTATCTATGATAAATTCATAATATTAAAATGATAATATTTTGTGTGTGGAAACAAAATTAAGAGAGTAATATTATAAGAAAAGTAAAATTAATAAGTTTATAGGTCTTATTGAAAGGATAAATCAATTTTTTTCTAGACTATTAATGTATAAAGTCCTTTCCCTGAAGGTTATAAATAGCCAGGCATTAGTGAACTATATGAAATATGATTTAAAAATTAGGTCAATTATTTTCTGAGTGATTCTGCATTGAACAAATTCAGGTCTAATGAACTATATTTTTAAAAAATAAATCAGGACGTACACTTAATAGATATAAAAAATATTGTCAGCCTTAGGAAGTTATAGTTCTGATGGTAAACCAGGATTTTTTAATGATAATAATAATTTGGTTCAGTATTGGACCCTAAATTTTATGGTGAGTTTAAGTCCCAGATTCTGGAGATTTTCAATTAATAATATAATAAAATCACGGTCACCTGCCAATCACCAATCACCATTAGTTTGGGCTTCAATTTATTCTCAAATGAGACTTGCTATGAGGTGATGCGTGACAGGACTTGGTTGATTCCACACCCTCTGAACCTACCCCACCCAGACCACACTCTGATACCTTTAATCAGCTTCAAGGCATTCTCCAGGTACTCGTCTTCCGTGATGGGGTGTCCATCTAACTCCAGCTCCAGTATGAAATCTCGTACAGTCCAAATAAAGTCTGGAAAGAAACCTGCAAACTCGGCAGAGTCCTCTAATTCATCAGTTCGGGGCGAGGACTTAGTCCTGATTCGTTCTGAGAGTTCAGTCACGTAGCTAGAAATGCAGTTAAGGAAGGAGAGAGGTCCTGCACCAAAATTCACAGTTCTCCCTTAGAAACAAATTATACAAACATTCTTTCTTCTGCGTCCTCTCCCCCCAACCTGAACAACTGAGTCTATGGGAAGTAGAAATAGTATCAGTTGTCATTCCTATAAACTCAATAAGACGGGGGTCCCATCCCTGGGAGGATACTGCAGCTGCTCCAGGGCCTGGTGGTTGATGGTGCCCATGCTATTGTAGACAAAGGTGCTGCTCAGGAGCACAGCCAGCGCAAAGACCCACGAGTCATTTGTAGGGTCACCCTAGAAAGCAAGGCACAGCAAAGGGCTTAAGTCTACCCTTTTTTTTTTTTTTTAGAGATTTCTGTAATAAGGTGTGTGCACTCACTGGAGAGAGAGACAGACACAGTGAGAGGGAGAGGGATGACCCTTCTCCTCCTTTCTCTTCCATTCGCCTTCCAAGATCTTGAGCATGCATGCACACACACCTGGCCTGATTTTGAAGCCATGCGGGTCTCAAACTGCAGTCAGTCATGATGGAGTCCAGTAATGTAACTGCTGTGCCATCTTCTGGTTCCCTTAAGTCTACTTTCTATTCATTTATTTATTCATTCACTCAATTTTTCATTCTCTAGTTTAGTTGTAATATACGTAGTTAAATAGCAGGGCAAAAAACATACAATTTGAAGATAATGTTAAATGTGTGACATATTTTTGAGATTTACGTTTATCCTTCTCAGGCTTTCACTTCCTTTAGTTATTAAAGGGAGCAATCGACTATGTCGATGTGTAAAATACTTAATAATTGCCTAGAACATAGCAGGTGGGTAATAAGTGAGCTATAATCCTTCTGTAAATAATCTCCATAATGAACTATATTGAAGTAAAAAATGCTATTTGATTGACTAAAACATGCATTTGGACACAGTGTTCTATGTGATAGTCCCCAGCTTCAACAGGGTGACTTTCTGAAATGGCAGGTAAGGATGTCAGCGTATAAATGTCAGCGTATAAATCTTTCCTGAAATGGAACCAAAGTTACAATGTTAAAAAAAAAAAAAAGGTGGGGAATGCAAATACACTGGAACAAATTCTCTGAGTTCAAAGCAAAGAAGGACAATGACTACTGGGAGAGGACAGCAGTAGGTTGAAAAGAGCTGGGCTTTGGAGTTGAAAAATTGTGGACTTGTGAACGGAAAGGTATCAGGCAAGTAGAAGACCCAACACATTTTAACTAGTAGCTCCTATTAATCACCCAGAGGGAATGGCCATGCTGCAATCCCTCCTCCATTCTCCTCCTGGGATCTTGGACATGCACGCTCAGACACTTGGTGTAACTTTGAAGACACTGGGTCTGGGACTCCAACCTTGGTCAGCCATGTAGGAGTCAAGCAGTGTAACTGCTACACCATCTTTGGGTCCCCTTAAGTCTACTTTTTTTCAATCATTCATTCATTGGATTGTTCATTCTCTAGTTTAGTTGTAGTATACATAATTAAATAGTAGGAGAAAGAACATAAAATTGGAAGATAATGTTAAATTTGCTCCATATTTTGACATTTACATTTCTTTCAGGACTTCACTTCTTTTAGTTATTAAAGGAAGCAATGAACTTTGTCAGTGTGTAAAATACTTAATACATTGCCTAGAATGTAGCAGGTGGGCAATAAGTGAGCCATAAACCTTTTGCAAATTATCTCCATAATGAGCTACACTGAGGTCACAAACAATGTTTGATTGACTAAAAAATGCATTTGGACAGTGTTCTAGGTGACAGTCCCTGACCTCAAGAGGATGATTCCTGAAATGGCAGGTAAGGATGTCAGCATGTAAATACAGCCAAAATAATAATCTCTCCTGAAATGGAATCAAAGTTACATTGTTTTTAAAAAATGGGTGAGGAATGCAAATAACCTGGAACAAATACTCTTGAGTTCAGAGCAAGGAGGGACAATGAGTAAGTGGGAGAGGACAGCAGTAGGTTGAAAACAGCTGGGCTTTGGAGTTGAAAATTTGTGAACTTGTGGAGGGAAAGGTATCAGGCAAGTGGAAGGACCAGCACATTTAACCAGTTGCTCTCATTAATCCCCCAGGCTTCAACTTCTTCCAGGAAGATTTTTCTTTCTTACTGGGTTAGGCTCTCACTACCTGCATCCAGATGTGCTTATTGGTCACATTGTGTATGTTTTCTTTCCAGCTAGGATCTGAACCTTTACCTTGCTCATTGCCTAGCATAGAGTCCTGGAATCCATTTGCTCATTCAGTGTATATTAATTAGGATCATTTACCTAAATGTTAAAAATAAGACCTATCAATAATATTCTAAAGTATTTGAGCTTACAAATAAAAGTAAATTCAAGGGAACAGAGTGTAGCCCATAATCAGATACATAGTTAGCAGGGATGGGGCACAGAAGTTGGAGTGAAGTTGTGAATTAAAAGGCAAACAGAGACTCAAGAACAAAGATTTCTTTATGACTCTCTGTCTTACCTTTTCTATGTCGCCCAGGCTCTCAGTGTCCAGAAGGACCAGAGTGTGGTTTGGCTTCAAGGGGTGGGGTACACACCACATCCAGATGCCCTTGGTTTCAGACCTCACTGTGGAGCCCAGAGGAAAGCCTTCATGGGAAAAAGAGAGAAGGCAGCATTCAGTGACAGGCTCCCCTGGGTTACACTGGCTGACAGGGGAAGGGGGTTGCGCCCATTTCATCAAGGACAGCCATCCCATTTTTACACACAGAAATGTCTGTATCAAAAAAAAAAATTTGTGTCTCCTGTTCACTCCATATTGTAATCGGCTCTAACTTTATCACTGTGTGAACTTAAATTAATTCAACCTGTATATTGTTATATGACCCTCAAGAGGAACAAAAAACCATTCACACATGGAATGAGAAAGTGCTGAGACAGAGCTCCCAGTGTCTGCTTCATCTTCGGGTAGTGCCTCCTTGCCCTACTCTGGGAGCCGCACTGAGAGAAGGCCATCTAAGTGGAGAGGATTCTGACATGGGAAGGACAGCACAGGTCACTCTGATCCAGTCTGCTTAGTCTCTTGGCAACGGGGTCATAAAAACTGAGCCTCAAGTTGGCCACACAGCTCCATGGTTAATGGAGCTATATTCCACATTATTGATGGTGGTTCGAATCCTGGTCTCGGAGACTTGTAGCCAGTAGGTAGAGTGGTAGTTAAGGCAGCTGGATTCCCACATGGCCGACTGTGGTTAAGTTCTGGACGCAATGGCTTGAAAATCACACCAGATGTGTGTGCACACACACCCAAAATCCCAAGAGGAGAATGGATAAGAAGGAATTGTGGAGTGGCCAGCCCCCCAAAGGGTGTTTTCTTACTGTTCCTATCTCTTTTTGTCTCTGTCTCTCTTCAGTTAGCACACATGCCCTATGGAAAAACCTAAAAGAAGAAAGAAAATAAAAAAGAAAGAAAGAAAGAAAAAGATGCCTGACATCTGTGCAAGAGAGCCTCACATCTTGACAGGCTGGAGAAATGGTGGAAAAAGGATTATGGTATGACCACACCCCATGAGGGGGTTTGTGCGCTTTCTCTCTCTCTCTCTCTCTCTCTCTCTCTCTCTCTCTCCCTCTCTCTGGTGAGACCATGTGCCCTCTTGCAAAAAAGAACTCAGTTTTGAAGTGCATAGAGGAATATTTGATTTAAGCCCTTGTATATCTAGTTGGAGACTGGATTTGTTAGACTGCGAAGATCAATCTAGCAAGAATGTTTGGGAATCTAACAAGAATTTTAATGTTTGGGATGTTTGAAATGGATGATAACAATAATCATGAATGTTTCAGGAGTATTAGATACAGGGGTAATTAGATGTTATTTACTGAATGAGTTAGGAGTCTGAGAAATCACCTCCTGGAGGTGGGGGGATGGCCATGCCTCAATCTGTTCTCCTCCATTCTCCTCTTGGGATTTTGGGTACACATGCACATGTGATCAGCGTGTGTCAAGCTGCTGAGTCTGGGACTCAAGCTGCAGTTGACCATGTGTGAGTCCAGCACCTTAACCACTACGCTACCTGCTGGCCCCAGGAGTCTGAGATTTTTAAAGGTGGGTAAGACTCAAGCAGTTCGATTACTCGTTTTGTATATAATGAAATGGAAATGCAGAAACTAAGTGGTTGGTGCAGCTGCTTAGACATACAGGCTGTACTTTAACTCAGTTCTCCTGACTCACGGCACGGTGCTCTGTCAGCCACTCTGACCCCCTGCTACAGCGCAACTGTCTAGTATGGTAAGGCGGCCAATTAGAGTGGGAATGGTAGAAAGGGAATGAAAGGATTTGAGAAATCTGAGAGTAACTGATGTGAGTGTTAGAGAAGGAGATAATGATCATGCCAACGTTTTATATCTTGAGAGACAGGGCTATAATTTACAGCATGGCGGATTAAATTTTGATACCAGTTGTCTTTGTTTTCCTCCTTTTTCTCCCCACTCTACATCACATTCACCCTTTACTGCTCTGTATCATGGCCCAACCCTTGGATGTTGACGTTCATTGCCTACATCATCAGAGTTCTCTAGGCTCCTGGTTTATGGTGGAGTTCAGAAATGGGAGAGACCAGCAGGTGAACTACAGGCAGGTATGTGCCACCCAGCTCTCACCCTGCTGGCCCACAGCTCTCAGGGGGTTGTTCCTCTCCCTCAGGACACAGCAACTTTCTTATAGCTCCACCCAATGGCTCTGGTCCTACCAGGTGTTGGTAACATTCTCTACATGCCTCTTCTGGTCTAGAATGAGAGTTATCGTTCTTCTATTGCCAGTTTCTGAATGCTTCTCCATCCGTGGCTGGGCACATTTGTCTTTCCTATGCCCTCGTAAATATTTCCTTAGTTATCCCTTCTATGGGACATCTGTGGTCTTCTAGGACCTGAACTGATACATTAGCTTTGGTTATATTTTTTTCTTCCCCTCACTTCTTTTTAGGCAAATTATGAGTCCTGTGTTCATTGTCTTAAGAGAGAACATAAGAGATATAAACATAGAAAAAAAACCTATGAAAATTATCATTTCTTTCCAAGGCTTAAACTCACAGGGGAGAAGATTAGAGGACTATTCTTGGAAACTTGTGGATAATAGAAGCTGTCCAATGACCCAAGAGTTTTACCACCTGTCATGTGCCAATGCTTCTTTGAGAGAAAAAGTTAATCTTAGCATGGTTCAGCATGGCTCAGGCCATCAGTTCCCACACCCAGTGTTTTCTGAAAGCAAAAGTACAGCACCTGAGGCAGTCTGCAGTGTTTCACATTCTATCTGCTTGCTGGCTGAGTAAACCCGACCCCAGTTTTCGAATTATGAAAGACAAGGTGTGATTGGAGGTTACCAGTCCCAGGTATGAGAGGTCACAGCAAAATCAAAACAAGTCCCCCCAAAGAGAGAGAAGCAGTGACCTGATCTCGCTCACTGACGCTGACTGGAAGAGAATCTCTTTTTCTTTCTGTTCTTCGTATGAGAAATGAGGGTTGTAGGGCCCCACTTTAGGTGTTTAAGACATTTTAGGACCAGAAAATCCTTTAGAAAAGGAGAGGAACACCACTTCATTGCTGCTTGATGTTGTCGTGAATAGAAAATAAAAACAATTTTTCTAAAGCTCCATGACTAGTATCTGTCTCTCAGGGTTCTCAACTCTAATCCTTGAAAACATGGTCCGTGAATTTACTTGGGCTAGGCAAAGAAAAGTGTACTTTCCTGATGGTGGTTAAGAATATGTTTTTTAAAAAAAGGTAAAGGCATAATGTTTCATTTAGATACCAATAGGAGACTGAGGAATACAAAGAGGAGAGGGAGAAAGAGAAAGGGTGAGAAGGAAAGAGTCAGTTGGGGAGTGAAGGGGAGAGAGAAAGAGAGAGAGAGATGGAGATGCAGGCCCAGGGATCCTGAGAGTTTAGTGAATTTAAATTCAACTCCTCCTGAACCTTAGCTTCCTAACCACAGGGAAGTCAATTTAGAAGATCCTGCAGTAGCTCCTTAGAAACAAAGGCCTAACATGACCATAGGCACATCGTCCTAAAAATCAGTAACAGCACAAAAGACGATCTGGTGGGTTAAAATTCAACATAGGGAATACAAAAGGCAAATAAGTACATGAAAAAGCATCCAGTGTTATTTGTAGTGAAACCACATGCAGCTCTGCAGTGACAAAATCAGGAAATTTTAAAGGTCTCTGTAACCACGCAAGAGAGTATGTTCTAGCGATCTGCCCCACAAGATGCCTACAGCTGACAGCTCTGGATGGAGCACCGACACATTTGCTAAGAGGATTGTTCTCTTCTTAGTGTTCTTACCACAATAAATAAATGAATAAAGGTAGGGATGCAGGAAACTTGTGAAGGTCATAGATATGTCTATATATATTTTTTTTTTTTGAGAGGTTTTTGCTATAGAGCGCATGTGCTCAACAGAAAGACAGAGAGGCAGAAAGGAAGAAATCACCCACCCCCCAGGGGGTATGGCCACACTGCAATCCCTTCTCCTCCATTCTCCTCTTGGGATCTTGGGCACACACACACATGTGGCCACTGTGAGTTTAGGCCACCGGGTCTGGGACTCAAACCACCGTCGACTATATGGGAGTCCAGAGACATAGCCATTATGCCAACTGTTAGTCCTGATATGTCTATTATCTTGATTATGGTGAAAGTTTCATGAGAGTTGATACATGTCCAAAATTATAATCTTTGCACATTAAATATGTGAAAATTTCAAAGATATCAATTATAAAACTGTTAAAAATACAACATAGTGGGGCTGGCAGATGGCGTGGTGGTTAAAGGTGCTGGATTCCCACATGGGCAACTACTGTTCGAGTCCTGAAGCTGGTGGCTTGCTTTCTCACTCTTTCTTTCCCTCTCTCTCTCTCTCTCTCTCTCATCAAATTAAAATTTAAAAATGTATAAATGAAGTCAAATAAAATAATTCTTTAAAATAATACAACATCATCAATTATATTATAAAATACACAGGTTGTCCTTTCTGTCCATCTAACAAAAATCGTAAGAGAAAAAGGGAGGGGGGGAGACCAGCAGTTAGCATAATGGCTATGTCGCTGAACTCCCATGTAGTTGACCACGGTTCGCGTTATAACAGCCAAGGTTGAAAAAAATAAAATGGAGCTCATGCAGATGTTCATTAAAGGGAATAGTGGAAAATAGGGAAAATGTGGTATCTTCATACAACTGACAAGATTTTATTGTGTATTTTAAAATAACTAGCAGAGAGGATTTTAAATGCTCCTAATACAAAGTAATGATTATGTATTATTATTTGAGTTGATAAATATTACCTCACATTGATAATTATACCTTGTATTCATGTGTTGAAAAAATTATGCTAATCCCCATAAATATGTATAATTATCATGTATCAATTAAAATAATAGTAAATAAAATGTCTCACTTAACAACTAAAAAAGAGCAAAATTTTTTTTTCTTTTTTTTTTTGCCATAAGGTGAGTGTACTTACTAGAGAGACAGAGAGAAACAGTGAGAGAGAAAGTGAGACAGTGAGAGAGAAAGCGAGAAATCACTGCTCCTCTCCCCCCCCACCCCCCCGGGGGCTGACCATGCCAAATCTACGTTGGGCGCCAATCTGCCGGGGTCCAGCCTCGGCGTGGGTGGGTTATTTCGACGAAGGCGGCGAAGGTGAACAGAAGACAGAGGCCTCGATGCTTTCTCATGCACGTCCTATGCCGGACACCCCTCAGAGGTCGCCCTCTGAGGAGTGACAACTGCTAGGAATTAT